TATTAAAGAGAAATAGAAACAAAAATTCGACATAAAATATTCTCTTCAGTTTTTATCGAAAAAGATAAAAGCTATTAATTAAAGAGGAAAAAAATTACTCACGATCGTTCCTCTCCCCAATCATATTTTTTTTAAAAAAAAAGTCTCATTAATGTTCGGAATTTATTCCTCTCAAAAAATCTTTGAGAAAAATATTTTTTTCGGAAGAACTTTCACATTTTGTGAATTTTTCTTCTTATTTTCATCATTTTTCAAAAAAAAAAAAATACTCAAAGAAAATTTTTCTTTTCGTGAGAGAAACTTTCAACGGGAGGAAATAGGAAAGATGCTATGATCACCAAATGTAGTTTGAGTTGAGCAGCGATCGAATCAAAATATCGAGCAGACTTATTCATTTCACTTTTTTCGGTTTAATTTTAGAAAAAGAAAAAGAATTTCTTTTTTGTGTGGTTAATAAAAATAAAAAAAAAGTGAAAAATAAGAGGAAAATCGGTCGTAAATTTTCCAGCGTCTAGTCAACTGTCGTTTATCGTGCGTATGTAAATGATTTCCGGTAAATCGTGACTTTAAAATCGAGTGAAATCCAATATCTATTAAACTTAGTTTCGTATGTGCAAAGTGATGATGAGCATTCATCGATGAGTTTAAGTCTGTAACACTCTATCTTTGATGTTTAATAAATATGGTTATCTCATTAAGTTTATGTAATAATGAGCAGTTGGATGGTCTTAATTTCATGATTTTCAACAGATATTATTTTAAAAAAAGCCATTTTTGATCAACATTTTAAAAATACAAAAGTTCTCGTGGAAAAGCTGAATGAATTTTTTAACCTCTCAATTTTTTGTGTCACAAATTCCTTAGTGAAAAATAAACCATTACGAATAATAACAATAACAAAAATCGAACACTTTGTGCTCTTAAACCCTATAATGAGAAAATTTTCATAAAAATAGTACACACAACGTCAGCCAATATTTTTGCTCTCGACATAATTGAAGGATATTTTGTGAATTTATATAAATGCATGAGAAGCTTCAAAGTATTAAAGCAAACAAAGTGATGACGGTGATGTTTAAGAAAAAAGTATATCCTCTTGCCAGAGAAAAGTCTGTTCAGATCGAGCAGTGACATAATTATTTTTAAAAGGACCAAAAATATATTTATGATTTAGAATTTCTTTTATTTAGACAGTATACTAATAGTAATTTTTATATATATATATATATATATAAACAATGCAAAGTGGCGATTCTCTGAATAAAAAAATTTAATGTCTTGTAGATTTTAAACTTAAAAATATTCTTCCTACAAAATTTCAAACAAATTAAAATCATCAAAAGGAAATTGCATAATAAATTTGTCAAATGTTATTAACATGTGCGGGAAACCTAGGCAAATCATAAAGTCTTTAATTTTCTCTCTATTCAATATCTGAAGAGATTTTTCTCGACGGAAATGTTTTTTTTTCGAATTGTTTTAAATGAAAATGTCGGCTCAAAATGATTACAAGTTTATTAAACTAGTTAAATATTTTGCAACTCAATGAAAAAAGCATTGCTTTTCGATCAATATAAAGTTTGATACATACAGGACAACTTAGTAACATTTATTTCTAAACCTCGATTTTAAATACATTTTTTGAAGTAAATACTTCACCAGAAGTTTAAACATCCAAAACATTCCAAATATAATTAATAATTCTCGCAAATATTAAATTTACACCAGTTAAATTGTTTTGACTTATTTAACTGCAGAACTGAACATTTTCAAAAAAATTTCTCAAACGGAAAATTCCAAAAATTAATTTTTATGCTCAATAAATTTCTTGTTTATGGAATTTCAGTAAACAAATTTATTTCACAGAAAAAAAATGGTTAAAAATATTTTAAAGAAAAAAATGGAAATGAAATATGAAAAAAAGTCAAATAAAATTTGCCACACACTTAAAAAAAGTTTTAAGGGAGATTAAACAGTTTTTGTAATGAAATTGAGATGAATTTTTAAAAGAGAAAACTTTAATATTAGGAATCTCAATTTACTTTTCAATGAAGTACAAAACATATCCAAAAATTAGCAACTCTCTTTAATATCAGAATAAATGCCATTTCTGTTTGGTAATAACCCCAAACTGTCTGATTTCATATTATCATCAGTGGCATAACAAACGTGCTCATATCAATATCGACCAGTATACGTGAGAATAAATTGTGTAGGCGACTGACAAATTGAAAAGGCCGTGATTCGCGTGTGTGTTCTTACAGAAGCAAACAAACTCACAGATGATCACTTCACTAAGAAAAATATTTTTCACAAACAACACAAAATTTTTTTTCTACCTTGGATAAAAGAAGAAATGTGAGATGCTTAGTTTCTACTAAGTCGCCACTAGTCATCAGTGAGCATTACAACTCTTCTTTTTGCTACGAAGAAAGACACACAAATAATTTATGAGGAACATTTGTCGAACTAAGTTTTAATCGCTGTGAACCTTTGTTTCCAGATAAGTGAGAAAAAAAAATATAAAAACAGAGTTATGATAAGTTTTGTGAGTAATATCAATTAATAATTATCAAGACATGAATGAGTATAAAGTTAAGTGACATTTTTTATGGATGTTTTACTGGTTCCTTCAAAGTTTACTTTAGAAGTTGTTAGGAACCACGGTTCAGGATGAAAATTTATCAGATTTGAATCTATGAATATTCAAAATCTATGCCTTAGGTGATAATTTAATAAATTGTTGCTAATCTGATTATAGCAAAAATGTTTGCTCAAAGTAAAATTTGAATAACACGGGAGCAAAAATGGAAGCGAAATTTTCTGTAGTGTTGATAACTCAATATTTAGTGAAACTGTAATAATGCTGATGAAAACTCTATTCTATAGAATTAATTAATTTATGGAAACAGAGATTTTTCTATTTTTACTCTCGTCTAATCTCCAATTTATCATTCTTTAGATGCTTTGGGTAGATTTTTCATTACGAAATTTACATGTGAAATACTTCATTACAGCAAGCTATCATCGCTGTTAATAATATTAAAATTAATCACTTATAATATATCTCTCTATGAACATTCATCCCTCTAATATGCAGTAGTGTTCATCATCTTTACTCCCTAAACATCATGCGTCATATCTTAATTGGCAAATTCAAATGAGTTAACAAAGATAAAATGCTTCTAATTTAGGATTTTGGATTCACAAAAATTATTGAGATTGAAAATATGTGAAGCGTTCTTTTGAATAATTTTCTTCATATTACGATAAACATAATTTTTGAAACCATAAAACTCATCAAACCAATTCACACATATCAATCTACCAAAAATTACAATTTTATTTTTAAAAAATCATATCGATTGATCGATTCACACGCAATTTGCCATAGAATAAGAAGACCAGAAAACATAAAAAAAAGTATTTTTATAAAGCAAACGAAAAAATAAAATAAAATTCGCCTTCTTTAAAGAAAAATCAATCCACTGGTAATGTTTCAAACTCCTTTATGTGAAATCTATCTTACATTTATTTGTACAGCTTCGCATGCTAAAATCTCTACAAACTCTTTCGCCTTATACTCGTTTTATGATAGAAATAAAAGAAATGAAAATCTTTACGATATAAATTGTGAATGGAAGTATTTTTGAAACTTATAATTATCTTTAGTCTTGAATGTACACACAGCTGTGATGTAAATATTTCCAATCGATGTATGCTGTATTTTTTTTCAGAAAATTTTGAAACTGTTTTTGTGTGGCATCTTTACTTTGCGGAAACTTTCTTCTTGTTTTTATGAGAAAATTACTTCTTTCACTTATTTTACTTCAAATGATGTAACGAAGAAAACTTCTTGAGAGTATATAAGAGAAAATTAAATTGGAAATGTATAAATAATTTTGAGAATGCACTTGATGATTTTTAAATTGACCTAGAAATATTGCGAAAATTAATAATTTGCAATAAAAATAAAATTGTTCATTTAAATTGAAATTTCATCTGACCAGCTTGTATGTTGCTTTAACTTGGTTTTATCGTGCATTATTTTCATTAATCATAACGTCTGTCTTTTTCATCTTGATATGCTCTCGTAAATCTTTCATATGAACTTATAATGCTAAATCTTTCAGTTAATATTCTGACATTTCTCCTACATTGTATGTTATTATTATCATTGAAACTGATAACGAATTTGATCCTTCTTTAATCTTTTTGAAATGCCAGAGGAAAATGAGGACTTTAAGCTCTTAATTTGATGCACATGATTATATCTGAAGGCTATTTTTAAAATAATTTAAAAAAAATCTGCCGTTTAAATTCTAAATTGAGATTATTATTGATAAAGTAAGTTTGAGACAACTCAAACTTTAACAGCTTTTTATAACTTGTTTTTAAATCCATCAATTTTTTCAAACATATTCTCCATGAAGAAATTAATCAAACCAAATAAAAATGATAATACAGAAACCTGTAGCTGCAACATCATCACATCATCCAATGATTCATATGAAAATTTTTTTAAAGTGCAAAAAATTATTTCAAATGAAAAAAAGAGCTTGGTGAATAATAATAATAAAAAGAAAGAATACGGAAAAATTCATTGAGTTTTGTTTGCATTATTCATCTTCGGTTGAGAAAAGTCAAAAAAAAACTTATGAGTAAAAATAAAAATTACTATAGTAAATTTCCATATTGCATAATGTAGTTTTGCAATCAGCTTTTCCACAGAGGATAGTTGAAAAAAATATTTTTTTTTTATTAAAACTCATTCTCATAAATCACAGCATAATGAGTATATTATAAGCAGAGATCAGAAATGAAAAATCGGAACAATAATTTATTGTAGTATCTACTCATTATTCATTATGATATCATCAATGAAATTAAGTTGAAAACAAAAACGCTATTGTCTCATTTGTCTGTCGCGCGATTGACTAAGAAAATAATTTTAAAAAAAAAGAAAATCATAAAAGTCTGCAAAATTTGACATTTGAAAAATGGGAAGCAACTGCTGTAAGTCCGATCCGGGTAATAAAATATATAGCACTGTGTCATCTAATTCGTCTGTTTATTTGAAAAGGTAATAAAATATTTATAAAGGTAAAATCTAATGGATCATTTTTAATGCTAATTTGTTGTTTATCTTAGTAATGTCGTCAGGCATTTCTGCTTCTTTTATAATTCTATGATTAATCTTAAATGTATTTATAATCAGTTTAAGTATTCAATGATCTGAAAAATTAGATAAATTTTTTTGAACATCAAAATGATTAAAATAAAGCATGTACGAGGATGTAATAAGGAAAGTTTAGTAATGGTATAAAAAAGTACATTCTAACTCAAATATTGTAGAAAACGGAATTAAATTTAAAATTCAATTTTTCATATAAATAATTTCCCCGTGGAAACATTTGTAGATTTTATTTCACATCACTCTGTTAAATGCTCATGAGAGAAAATATCGGAAATGAAAATTGAGAATGTTTTCTTCACATTCTCATGCACACGAGTGCTTGAAAGAGCCAATATCCATTAAAACACTTTTCTGCAAACACACGATTGAAAATGTTTTAAATTTTTCTACATTGCTGTGCTTACAAGTGGAAAAACACTCTTTTCCGTACTCAAGATTGTTTTAAACTTAATAAATATTACAACAAATCTACAAGCATAAATGAAATCTCTAAAATGTAATTTATTTACTAATAAAGTCTCTTGTTAAACAACATTCATCGCTCAATAAATGATCTTGCTTCTCATATGAATTGAGTGGGTAAATATTGTGCTATTTTTATAGCAAATTCATTTCTGTACGTTTCTGAAGGATTATTTTTTTTTAAAAATATATATCATAAACATGTCATGATGAGGTCAGACAAAATAAAAATTATCTAATCCAAAATATATTGCAGACGTCTGCAATTTTTCATATTTTTACTAGGATAAAATATATAAATAGTCTTGAAACTTATTCCATAGTTGAAATTTCCTTAAGCATTCAGAAAAGAATAGGGTAAATACTTTTGAAAATTGCACACTTTTGAAATTTGCACACTCATATGAAAATAAAAAATAAAATTTTCCCACAAAATATCCACTTCTGATAAGGGGCCATTCACTTATTACGTATCGCTTTTAGGGGGAGGGGGGTCTAAGATTTTGTTACGATTCAAACAAGGAAATTTTTTTTCATACAAATTTTGTTACGAAGGGGGGGGGGGGGGTCTAAGAAGTCATTTTTTCGCGTTACGTAATAAGTGAACAGCCCCTAATACTTTCTTCACAAAATCTTATTATAATTATTATACAAATGTTGTTGTACCATTTTAAGTTGTCTAAAGGCATCAGGAGGATGAATTCCTTCAGCGATCAATTTTTCATACAAAACAAAACTTTGCAAAATATAAGGTTTTGGGATACAATCAGTGGCTTTATCAAATATTTTGATATCAAAAAATGCAGTTCTTAAGTTGTTTAAAATTTTGGAAGTATTTCTTTTGTGAAAGAATAAGCGGAACTGCCCAAAATATCACTTTTAAAAAAGCTTGTTTTTTACTTTTAAAATTTGCACAAAAATTTGTCGAAACTTTAGAAATTTGCACAGTTTTAAGCGTAGGAGGTATTGAAAAATTCGATGTAAACATTAATTCTTTTGATGTAAACATTAATTTTTCGGATTCAAAACATTAATGTTTTATGCCTGAAATAAAGATAGCGATAAATCGGACTGTAGGGAAATTGAAAAAAATATTCAAGAATCATCGGCGATTAAAAACTTACCGAAAAAAGAATCAAATTTTAAAAGTAGCAAGTGTTAAATTGTTTCTTAAGGATATATCTATGATTAAGCAAAGAAATGGCATTTAAATAAAATAATAATTTGCGAATTTAAATATAGAATTAGTCTTTATTTAATGATGAATGATAGGAATAAAATCAGCTTAAATATGAGATATCCATTTCAAGGACTTGATTCTATAGTTTTACATATAATGGATCCCGTTTGATTTCTTGTGCTTGATTTTTGAATTTTTTTCTTTAATTTTCCTATTAATTTTCAACGACGATGTATGTGAAGATGTTAGAAAAAGAAATCAGTAATACTGTTATTAGATTTGAAAATTACCTGATGAAAATATTATTTCTTCTCCCAAAAAAATAAAAAAAAATAATTGTTTACATAAATTAAATTCAAAAATGTTGGATTTCTATCAAAAAAGTGTGCAAATTTTAAAAGTTTTTTGTGCAAATTTTTAAAATTTCCATGCAAATTTCAAAAGTCAAAAATAAAACGCTTATATCTCTGCTGATATCCATCGTAGCTTTCAGAAAGAAGTTGCAAATTAAAATTTCCACAATTTTCAACAGCTTAAAAGTTTTTTTAAGCCTTAACAATAATCTGTTGAAAAGTTCCAAGCAAATGAAATTTTCATGTGCAAAGTTATGCAAATTTCAAAAGTATTTACCCTATTAAACGCGTTTGAAGAACTTTAAAATTTCATAACACATTTTTCCTCTATTTTTAGGACACGGGATGGCAAGCCAATAACAAACTCAGAGAAATTCAAAGTCACAAAAACAAAGAATGCAATTCAGTTAGCAATACAACATGTGCAGCGTGATGATGCCGGTCACTATACACTTTATGCAAAGACAGATACTGGAGAGACAGCGCAAAAAGACATTGAATTGTTGGTTGAGGATCGTTCGTTTGGTGATAATCCGCCTGTTTTCCTAAGACGCCTCAATGATCTCGCGGTTAAAGTTGGCACACGAACGCGCTTATTGGTGGAAATAAGAAGTGCAACTGATGTTCGTGTGACATGGTATCGAAATGATAGGAGGATTTGTGAAAATGATCGAATTAATTTCGTCAATGAAGGTTCTTTCTACTGTTTAGAGATCTCATCAATTACTTTAGATGATGGTGGAAAATGGATGTGTATGGCTGAGAATCTGGGTGGGAGAAATTCATGTTTGGCTACATTAAATGTTTTAGGTGAAAATTTAGTCATAATAACTCGTTGACATTGAATAATTTTATAAAATATTTATTTTCAGTACCAAAAGCTTATAAAGCTCCAGAATTTGTTGAGGAACTTCGTGCACTTCTCACAGAACAAGGAACAGTATCATTAGAATGCAAAGTCGTAGGTGTTCCAACTCCAATTCTTCGATGGTTTAAAGATTCAAAAGAAATAAAGGCTGGTGACGTTTTTGCATTAACAGCAAATCCTGATGATTTAACGTCACTTGGAACGTATACATGTGAAGCTGTCAATTGCATGGGTAAAACTTATTCAAGCTCTAAGCTTCACATATCAGGAAAAACAAGTCGAGAAAGTTCTTTGCAACCGTCTACTAAGCTTCACGGACCACCCCCAATTTTCACATCAGAATTGAAAAATATTAATTCGAAAATCGGAGACTCAATAACATTAGGATGTCAGGTGATGGTTCCACCATGGCCAAAATCTGTCACATGGTATAATAAAGAAGGTAAAATTGAATCAAGTGAGAAGTACAAATTAATAGAGGATGGAATGGGTTCATATATTCTTGAGATAAAGCCGGCCGAATACAGTGACGAAGGTGAATGGAAATTTGTGGTTGCAAGTAATGAAGGAACAGTTTCAATATCAACATGCTCAGTTCATATGGATATACCAAAAAATTACCGCAAACCACGTTTTATGGAAAATTTAAAAGCAATTTTGACTGAAGAGGGTCTTGTGTCATTCGAATGTAAAGTCGTAGGTTTTCCCACTCCATTACTACGGTGGTTCAAAGATGGCCACGAACTAAAGCCGGGAGATGTTTATCAATTAACCGGAACAAATTCATTGGGTTCATACAGTTGTATTGCTAGAAATTGTATGGGAGAAGCGTGCAGTTCTGCTGTGTTAACTCTTGAAGATATTCAAAATCAACTTAATGAAAATGAAAGAATTGAGCTACAACAAAAGAATCAACCACCAAAATTCATCAAAGGTCTGATGAGTTGCGATACTAAAATCAATGAAGAATTCAAATTTACTGTACAAATTAAAGCAACAACAGAGCCTGTATTTTCGTGGTATCGTGATGATTTACCAGTTGATAAGACCAATGAACGATATGAAATTTGTACAGAAAAAATTGGATTTTGCCACTTGACAATTAAATGTGTAGAATTTGTTGATCAGGCTGAGTGGAAGTGTGTTGCAACGAATGAATTTGGACACTCAACATCAACATGCTTCCTAAAACTTCAAATTCCTAGACATTATAAAAAGCCTAGATTTTTAGAATGCCTTCGTGCTGTATTGACAGAGGAAGGTAAGAATATTTAATAGCAAAAGTTTATCTTGTTGGTATATTTTTTAATATATTCATTGCTTAATGACTTTCAGGTGCCGTAAATCTTGAATGCAAAGTTATTGGTGTTCCACAACCAACACTTCGATGGTTTAAAGATGGTGTTGAGTTAAAGCCAGGTGATATTCATCGTATTATATCTGGCAAAGATGGTGAATGTAGTCTTGGAACATATACATGTGAAGCTCGTAATTGCATGGGTGTAGTTACAAGTTCAGCAACACTTCTTGGTTATGAGGAGAACTATAAAAGCATTCCTAAACCAGAACCAGCTAATATATTACAAAGACATTTATCACTTTCGACAATTCATGAAGAGCGAACATCACAGCTCTATGACACGCCAATGGGTGACATCACAGTCGATGAAAAAGGTGATGTTTCATTTTCATTCGATGGAAAGGAAGTTTCAGTCTCATTATATGAAACACCCGACTTAACGGAAGAGGAAGCACTGCAAATCGTTGAAATGTATGCTGATCAGATTTCAGAGCATGTTACAGAACAGAATATTGTTGAATTACCGCCATTAAGATTTGTAAAGGAAACGACACAATCAGGAAATCTGCTTATGGAGGCTGTTGTAATCGACGTTTCACCTGATTACTTCCCGCCAGAGGAAGATATGAGAACGGAAGCAGATATGGAAGATATTTCTGTTGTAGATGCCATGTCACAAGCTTTCGAGGATCCGCTATCCGAGCAATCAATGTCAAAACGACGACGAAAGGAAGAATCGCTAAAAAGCGGTGAAATGGAAGAGTTTTTCAGTTTGTCACAATCAAAACAAACGAAACTATTATCGATTTTGGAAAATTATGTCGTAGAAGAAGCACATAGTGATGAGGAAATCACAGAAACTGATTTGCAAACATTTGAAAGTGCTAAAAGTTCTGAAAAAGGAGATTCAGATAAGCAAAAGAAAATTATCAAATCTGATGATTCCTTACAAGAACAACCACCGAAACTACCACCAAGAAAGAGACCAACTCTAGACAGTAAAGACGAGGATTCAATTTACTTACAAGATATCTCTGGTGAGCAAGGAGATGGACTTAAAACACAAACGAAAAAGAAAATTGATGTCAAAACAATTATTACTAACAAATCAATAATCGAAAAAGTCATTAAGACAGTTATAATTATCAAACAGCATTTAATTGCAGTTGAAAATGAGGTCATTGCACAATCATCACTAATGATGTCACCAACATCGGGTGACAGCAGCATTGGTATTGTTAAGAGTGTACTTGAGCCAATTAATGCAATTGAATGTAAAGTCAATGAGTATAATGGAGAACGAAATGTTGACAATTTAATAGAAAATTTAATGCCGGACTTGAAGAGTTTGAATCACGGATTGAGTATCATTGAAAAATGTGTTGAAATGGATTCAGAAGGGAAAACATTAGTACAACGTACAAGTGTTTGTGTAATTGAGAGCGTTGGCATACAAATGTTAGCATTTTTAGAAAGCCTCAAGCAAGTGTGCCTACATAATGTCCAAGGATCCTTACAGAATGAATCTCTGTTAATAATTAATGACATGCAAACTGGAATTCACATAACTGAAGATACAATTAAGTCACAAACTCTTATACAAGAAGCATCAGCACTTGAAGCATCACAAAGAGTTTCTGAGACTGTAGCACAAATGCAGCAAAATGTTCCAGAAACGGTACCACTAGAAGTTGTTACAACAACAGAACTACCAAAGGAAGCAAACTCATTCAAGTTACTCTGTCGTTATATTCTCAAATTTCAAGAGATTCTTGAGACTTCTCAACAAAGTGACGTGAAGAAAGAAACATTGGTTGAAATACAGAAGCCTATTATCGACATTCAAAATGAAATTCATTTAATCGAAGAAAAAATATCAAAGAACAGCTTAAAAGATACAATTGAAGAGAAAATTTCATTTAAAATTCTCGATACAGTCTCACCACCACTTTATGAACTCAATAAATGTTTCGAAGCAATCACTAAAAATGTCGAGAGTGGAAATAAAAGCCCAAAAATTCTCGATCCATTTATTCTTCCGCTCCAAGAAATTCAGACAGGCCTCGCACTCATAGGACATGAAATCGATAGTGGATTCATAAAGAAGGAATCTCCCATTGATACGGAAGATAATCAAAAGTTAATTAAGAATGTATCACAAAATGTCATTTACGTTGAGAGTAATATTGAAAATATTCGAGATGTTACAAGCACAACTGTATACGATTCATTAATTCAATTGAAAATAACAATTTCTACTCTGGTTGAGAAAATTATTCGGGAGCCTAGGACGAAAGGAAATTTGCAAATCATTTGGGCATTAAAAATTCCGCTTGAAGAATTAAATTATTGTTTTCGACATATTGAAGAACGTTCTACATCCGGAAGTTTAAGAGATCTCCTTGATCCATTAAATAGTCTAAAGGAAAATATGGAAGTTGTGGAAGAAAAGTTAAGACAAATGAGAGTATCATGCAATGTGGAAGATATAAAGAAAATTAAGAACTTAGTAGACCAATGTGATGCGGAAATTCAACTTTTTGACATCATTCAGCTTGATCATCAAGAGAGAATAAATCAGCAAAGAATGTCAGAGCAACAACTTTCTGAACATACTAACCATCTCTCGGAAATGCAACAACGAAGCAATTGGACTCAAGAAAAATGCGACGTTCTTTCAAATGTTCACCAAAACATTGTAAATATACAGGAAATAATTGGATATGAAAACAATAAATCGTTTAGTGAACAATTGTCGACATTAAAGACCCTCGCCGTACCATTACGAGAGTTATCAAGACAAATTGCAAATATTCGTGAAGAAATTCTTCTCGAAAATGTTAACGATATCTCAATTAATGATTATAAAGCTATTCTTAAGCTCGCCAATCCAATAAGAGAAATTTGTCAGCAATTGGCAGTCATCACAAAAACAAGCACTTTCGAAACAGCACAAATATTTTCCTCAAAATCGGATCAAGAAAGTTTAAAATCTCTTGCTGTTTCATTTGCAGATCTTCGGAATTGTATTGCTTCAATACAGCATGAGTGCACTACACTTCATGAGATTCAAGGAGAGATTACTCATCCGCATATAAGCTTAAAGACTGCACGTCCATTAGAAGAATTGAGGCTGTGTGTAGAGGAAATAATTCACAATATTGTTGAGCCTGACGAAATATCTACGACATTGGATGATATCTCAGTCATGAAAACCTTGTCAGAAATGTCAGATGAAGTGAAGGTCGAAAGTTCATATAATAAAGTCAAGGTTACAGAAACCAAGGTTGAAACAGCATACATAGAAGAAAAGAAAGAGGAAAAAGTTATTGAAAACATGCAACTTGATGTGGACGCTTCTGACATTGATGAGAAAAAATCAAGAGAAAATCAACAACATGTTGATATTAAAACGGATGTTGAGACAACTAAAAATATTGAGAAGGAAGACGAAACTTTAAAAGATGCAACAGAAGAATTCAAGTCCAAGGAGCAAAAGTTCTCTATAGATATTCAAACTCATTTACTGAAAATGAAAGAGGATATGGAAACAGTTATGATTGCTGTTCAGAATATGCGACGACCAACTCCTGAAGTTCAGACAATTGAGAAGGAATTAAAAATTGTTCTTAATCATGTTTCAAACTTACCAAATAATGTGAATGAAATGGAAAAAATTATTGAAATCATTGAATTGGCTGAAAAGTCTATTTCAATTAGAAAAACTTCGGATGTTATTTTAGTAAAGTATAATTTAGAGTCATTAAAGAAAACACTTAAAATTATAATAGAAACAATTTATCCTGACCACGTTGAAAAGACGGATAAAGTGCAAGAAAAAATGGAAGTAATTACAGAAAAAGTTGATTTAATTGAAGAGAAAATAGAACTCACAGATGTGGAAATGATGGATGCTACAAAAGTCAAAAAGCTAGATATTCTTCCACAACCAGAAAAAGATATAAACATCACTAAAGCTGAAAATCAAGTTAAAAAGGTAAAAATTCTCATCAAAAAAAATATCTCAACAATTCCCGAGCTACAAGGAGTTGAGCAAGAGCTTGAGTTTACATTTGAAAATCTTGCCGAAATAACAAACAATCCAGATAAATTGGATAGAGCTATTGAAGTCATTAATGTGGCAGAATCAAAATTGATCACTGCAAATTCACCAGAATTAGTTGAAATTCGAGAATGTTTTGCAACATTAAAGCAAATTCTGATTACTTTTAAGAGTTCTATAAGTGCACAGCAAGTCAAAATTGAAGATATCAATAAACAAGTTGAAAACTCCCAAGTGAATCTTACTATGAAATCTGACGATTTAAAGATAGTAGAATCTGGAGATGCGAGAATTGAAAATATTATTGAATCGAACGGAAAAACTAAGTTGAAAGAAGAAAATTTGCTTATTGAAATAGCTGAAAAAATTGTTGATCAATCAGTAACAGTGAATATTGAATCCAAAACTTTAGAAATTGTTGAAATTAAGGCAGAAAATCTAAAAATAATTGAAGAAGATGATCCACGAACTGATGCAACTGTTGTTGAACCTGTTCAAAATATATTAATCGACGAAGTTAAAGAATCTAATCCTGAATCTATAGAAACGGGTAGTGAAAAAAGACAATTTGAGAATTTGAATGTAACAGAAGAACAAGTACGAGAAACAGTTTCTGAAGTTTTAGTCAATATTTCTGATGAAAGTGAAAAACAGGAAGAAATTAAAGAATTAACAGAAAATGTACAAGAAATTAAAGAAGTCAAAGAGTGTACTGAAACTGAAATTCAAGAAGAACCTCAAACAGGAAATCAAAAAATTCTGCCTGCAATTCAGGAATGCCTCACAATAACGAAAGAAAATATTGAAACAGTTTTCATTTCAATCAAGAAAGTTCGTCGTCCTACGAATGAATTACAGGCTGTCGAAAAAGAACTATCGATAATCTTTGAAAGTATTTCGGAATTATCACAAAACCAACAGAAAATTGAAAAAGTAATTGAGAAAGTCGAGATAGCTGAATCATCATTGGTTACAAGAAAAACCAGCGATATCGTGATTATGAAAGAAAATTTACTTGTCCTTAAAAAATCTTTAATAGCTCTGAATGATTTAATTAAATCTCAAAAAGATACGGTAAAAGATATTGATACTAAACCACAAAATGTGAAAACTGAAATAATCGAAATCAAAGAAGTGCTTGAAATTCTTGAAGAAGATAAGAATGTTAAATTTGAGGAAGTTAAAGCAAGCCATATCGAATCTCATGAAAAGAAAGGGGAAATTGAAAAACCTGATTTAAGCGAACCAAAGGAAAGTAATATTAAATTTTTACAATCAGAAATTCAGGAGAAACTGACACCTACAGAAGATAAATTAGGACCAGAAATTGAACAATGTCTCTTAAAAACCAAAAATGCAATTGAAACTGTTACTTCATCTATTAAAAAAGTACAAAGAATCACGCCTGAGCTAAAGTCAGTTCAAGGAGAATTAAATGTTATGCTCGAAAGTGTAACAGAACTTACAGAAAATGTTCAAAATGTGGAGAAAATAATTGAATCAATCGAGAAAACAGAAGCATCACTAGTTGCTAGAAAAACAAGTGACGTTGTACTTGTAAAAGAAAACTTATCAAATTTGAAACAATGTTTGTTTGCATTAACCAATATTGTAAAGTCTCGTCAATCAGAAATCATTGAAGCAAAACCTCAACTTGCTGATCTAAAAATTTTTGAATCTTCTGAAGAATTAAAGATTGTCGAATCTAATGAATGCATTGCTGAGAAAATTCAAGAAGAAATTGTTGAAAAAGGAGAAGAAATAAAACTATCAGAAACTGTTGAAGAAAAACTGTTGACAATTTTGAAAGTTGAGGATAAATCATTAGAATCAATCGAGCTTGATAAATGCATTGAAAAATCTAAAGGAGAAATTGAACATACAATAGAATCAATTCATAAAGTTCGCAGGATGACACCTGAAATTCAAGCTATCGAAACACAGCTATCTACAACATTCGAAAATGTCAAAGGTTTACAAAATAATGACAAGATTATCGAAGAAATTTTGAATAAAATTGATGCTGCGGAAGAGTCGATTGCTATTAGAAGAACGAGTGACATTACTGATTTGAAAGGAAATTTAGCAAATTTAAAACAATGCTTAGTAACTTTGAGAACTGTTGTCACCCAGCACAATATTCAAGTTCAAACAATTCAAATACAACCACAAAAAGCTGTTGTAAGCGTCATTGAAAGCAAGGAAAAATTACAAGCTACTAAGCCATTTTTAGAAGAAAAGATAGAAGCAACAAAAGAAAAGGAAGAATCCAAAACAGTCGATTCTCTGTTAGTTGAACCTGTCCAAGAAATGCTAAAATCAAAAGAACAATCCGAGGGACAAAAGGTTGAAGAGATTAAAGAGTCACAAATTGAAAAATTGGTGGAAATTCCTACTAAAGTTACTGTATGTTTAACTAAAACTAAAACTGAAATTGAAAATGTTATAGCATCGGTCAAAAAAGTCCGTCGCCAAACAAATGAACTTCAAGCAGCTCAAGAAGAGCTTAGTAATGTGTTAGAAGAACTTGAAAGTCTTTCTGAGAATCCCGAGCAGCTTGATAAAATTGTGAAAACTATTAATAGGGCAGAAAATTCTTTGATATTAAACAAAACCAGCGATACTGCTCTTGTTAAGGATAATTTGATCAAATTAAAAGAAGCTTTGGTATTATTGAGTTACGCTGTGGAAACACAAAAAGAGTCTACAGAAGAATTAAAAATTCTCGAATCAAATGAAAGTTTGACTGAAAAAGTGTTAAAAAATGTTCAAGAAGAAATCATAGATCAAACTGTCGATAGAAGAATTAGTGAAACTAAAATTGTTCAAGAGGAAGAATCAGAATCTGTCGAAACAGAAAAACTTCAAAGATGCATTCAAAACTCGAAGGAAGAAATTGGACAAACTATTGAATCAATTAAAAAAGTTCGAAAATCTACACCTGAAATTCAAGCTATCGAAATACAATTATTCACTACATTTGAAAATGTTAAGGACATTTTAAACAATCAGAAAATTATCGAGGATATTTTAAACCAAGTCGAAATTGCGGAAGCTTCAGTATCTGTCGGTAAGACAAGTGACATTGTTTCTCTAAAAGAAAACTTATCAACTTTAAAACAATCGCTAGTAACATTAAAATCTGTTATTATTCATCAAAATGCACAATTGAAATCGATTGACATTAAACCACAACATGGGGAAATGAGCGTTATAGGAATTAACAACGATTTAAAGATTGATGAGCAAAACGAAGAAACTATTACTGAGAAAAATTCAATCTCTAAAGATGTCAAAAAAATCGAATTGGTAACAAAAACTGAAGACTGTATAGATATCAAATCAGAAATTGACGTGACAATAAAATCAGGCAAGACTAATGATGAGGAATTAAAAATGATTGAAGACACAAATCTTATTAAAGAGTTGGAAAAATTATCTGAAGCCAAAGGCCAGCCAGCTCTACAAGAAATTCAAAAATGTCTCTCCAAAACTAAGGAAAATATTGAAACAGTTACAATTTCAATCAAGAAAGCACATCGTCCAACAGGTGAATTGCAATGTACCGAGAAAGAACTGGCAATAATACTAGAAAATATTTCTGAGTTACCACAAAATCAACAGCAAATTGAGAAGATTATTGAGAAAATTGAGGCAGCTGAAACTTCGTTGGTTGCAAGAAAAACTAGTGATATTATTCTGGTAAAAGAAAATTTAAACTCATTGAAGCAATCGTTGGTTACTCTCAATAATACAATTAAGACACAAAATATTCAATTATCAACTATTATGGATTTCCCTGAAATTGTCAATTTGCAAGTTAATGAAGTTTCACAAGATCTCAAAGTTGTTGAGTCTAATGAGAGTAAAGTACCGACTGTTCAGCCCTTACAAGAAATTATTGAAAAGTCAATGGTTGAAATTGAAAACACGGTTGAAGCAATTAAAAATATACCAAAACCTACACTTGAGCTACAAGCCACAGAAAAAAATCTGATAACAGTACTTGAAAATTTATCTGACCTACAACATGATGAGAAAACAATTGAAAAAGTTCTTGAATCTGTAACAGCAGCTGAGACATCTCTCACTGCAACGAAAACAAGCGAAATAGTGTTGATAAAAGAAAATTTATCACAATTGAAAGAATCATTGAAAACTCTCAAGACAAATGTTGAGGAATTGAAAGTTAATAATACAGAATCTCCAACTAGCAATGTTAAAATATTGGATCTTCATATTATTGAGCCTTCGAATGATCTGAAGATAATTGAATCAAATGAAGACCTCGCCGTAACAGATGAGAGCAAACAGTTGTTAGAAGTGACATTAAGCCTTGCAAAATCACGTGATGAAATTGAAAATGTTATGTTTGCTATCCGCAAAGCTCGTCATCCGCCATCGGAAGTAAGTTCAGTTGAAAAAATTCTCACTTTAACCTATGAGCAATTATTTGAACTTCCAAAAGATGATAAATTTTTCGATAAAGCTATTGAGTCGATTGAACTTGCAGAAATTTCACTCGTAACACGTGGAGCCGGTGATTTAATTGTCATTAAGAATAATCTTGCATCACTAAAAGAATCATTCATTAAGATAATTAGTTTCCAAAATCCACAAAAAGCAGCCTCTCTTCTAAATGAACTTCAGAAACCACAAGTTGCTAAAATGTCAGAAATACACGAGCCAAAACAAGTTAAAGAAGTAAAGCCACAAGAATTGACAAGCAAACAAAAGCTTGAAACTTTAATAGAGAAGACGGTCGACTCAATAAAAAATTCACATCGTCTTACTCCGGAAGTGCAAGCAATAGAGAAGGAATTCACATTTACATTAGAAAAAGTCATGAATCTCGAAAATGATAAACAGGAAATTGAAAAAGTTATTGAGTTGATTGAAACGGCTGAGGCATCATTTGGTGCAAAACGTACAAGTGATATAGTTTTAATAAAAGAAAATCTTGCACTTGTTAAGGAAACACTGAACATTCTTAAATTGACAATACAATCGAAACCAATTGAAATTATTGAGTTGCAGCAACAAAAACCAGAGCAAGCTATTATTGTGGATGAAAAATTGAAAGAAGAAGAATTGGTAAAGGAAATTGTCAGTAAAAAATCTGAAGAAAAACAACAAGGAAGCCTTGAATTGAAAGAAAGTGAAGAAAAACTTTCATTGCATACTGAAATTCATGAAACACAAAAGCAGCAACCCAATGAGAATGTTAAGAAATTGAAAACAGAAATCGTCAGCACAATTGAATCTATAAAGAAAGTTCTCCGTCCAAATACTGAGATTCAAGCAGTCGAGAGAGAATTAACAATGGCTATTGAACATGTAAATGAACTGCCAAATGACGAAAAGAAAATTGAAAATGTCATTGCAGTCATTGAAAACACTGAAGCTTCATTAGTCGCTAAAAAAACTAGTGACATAGCTGTAGTAAAAAATAATTTATCGGAACTTAAACAAACCTTGAATTTAATGAAGACATCAAAGAAACTTGAAATTGATGAAACTGAATTATTGACAGGAACCCAAAAAGAACAAGAAATTGTTTTGGAAGAATTAAGAGAAACAAAGAAGGAATCAACTGATAAATCTAACGAAATTCAAAAGAATGAAAAGTACATTAAAGAAGGAGCCATAGTTATTGAACAGCCAACTAATGAAAAAATAGAAACGCTTAAAACGATTATTGAAATTGAGAAAGAAAAGCCTGTTGTAGATCAAACAAAAGCAAACAAAGATCTGAAAGAAGAGATGGAGATTGAAAAAATATCTTTATCTAAAGATCAATTAAGTATTAAATCAGACCTGGAATGTTCAATTCAGCCAATTAAAATAAATCGTCCAACTTCCGAACTTAAGGATACTGAAAAAATTATTTCAAAGACTGATGAAAAACCCAAAGAGGAAATAAAGAAAGTCACTGAAAAGCCTAAAGAGGAAATAAAGAAAGTCACTGAAAAACCTAAAGAGGAAATAAAGAAAGTCACTGAAAAACCTAAAGAGGAAATAAGGAAAGTTGACGAAAAGCCTGAAGAGGAAATAAAGAAAGTCACTGAAAAGCCTGAAGAGGAAATAAAGAAAGTCACTGAAAAGCCTAAAGAGGAAATAAAGAAAGTCATTGAAGAACCTAAAGAGGAAATAAAGAAAGTCACTGAAAAACCTAAAGAGGAAATAACGAAAGTCACTGAAAAGCCTAAAGAGGAAATAAAGAAAGTCACTGAAAAACCTAAAGAGGAAATAAAGAAAGTCGACGAAAAGCCTGAAGAGGAAATAAAGAAAATCACTGAAAAGCCTGAAGACGAAATAAAGAAAGTCACTGAAAAGCCTAAAGAGGAAATAACGAAAGTCACTGAAGAACCTAAAGAGGAAATAAAGAAAGTCACTGAAAAACCTAAAGAGGAAATAAAGAAAGTCACTGAAAAACCTAAAGAGGAAATAAAGAAAGTCGACGAAAAGCCTGAAGAGGAAATAAAGAAAGTCACTGAAAAGCCTGAAGACGAAATAAAGAAAGTCACTGAAAAGCCTAAAGAGGAAATAACGAAAGTCACTGAAGAACCTAAAGAGGAAATAAAGAAAGTCACTGAAAAACCTAAAGAGGAAATAAAGAAAGTCACTGAAAAACCTAAAGAGGAAATAAAGAAAGTCGACGAAAAGCCTGAAGAGCAAATAAAGAAAGTCACTGAAAAGCCCAAAGAGGAAATAAAGAAAGTCACTGAAAAACCTAAAGAGGAAATAAAGAAAGTCGACGAAAAGCCTGAAGAGGAAATAAAGAAAGTCACTGAAAAGCCTGAAGACGAAATAAAGAAAGTCACTGAAAAGCCTAAAGAGGAAATAACGAAAGTCACTGAAGAACCTAAAGAGGAAATAAAGAAAGTCACTGAAAAACCTAAAGAGGAAATAAAGAAAGTCACTGAAAAACCTAAAGAGGAAATAAAGAAAGTCGACGAAAAGCCTGAAGAGGAAATAAAGAAAGTCACTGAAAAGCCCAAAGAGGAAATAAAGAAAGTCACTGAAAAGCCTAAAGAGGAAATAACGAAAGTCACTGAAAAACCTAAAGAGGAAATAAAGAAAGTCGACGAAAAGCCTGAAGAGGAAATAAAGAAAGTCACTGAAAAGCCTATAGTGGAAACCTTATATGTCGACGAAAAGCCTGAAGAGGAAATAAAAAAGGCAGATGAAAAACCTAAAGAAGAATCAAAGGTGGTCGATGAAAAATCAAACTCCAAAAAACTAGATGTCAAACTTCCGGCCGAGAAAACCAAAATCAAAATTGAAATTGTTGATGCAATTGATTTAATTAAGAAAATTCGCCGTGCAACTCCTGAATTGAATGCTACCGAAAATGAACTTAAAACTATTCTTGAACATATTAAAGAATTCCCAAATAATCAACATGAATTATTGAATATTATTTCATCAATAGAGTGTGCAGAAACATCTCTTGCTACAAGAAGAACAAGTGACATTATGAAAGTAAAAGAAAAATTGAATTCATTAAAAAGCAGTTTGTGCACATTTAAGAATGTAGAAAAAATCGTTGAATTTGAAGTTGAAACCTTAATAGAGCAAGCTGAAGTGGAAAAGAATGACAAACTTGACGCAACAGAATTCAAAACGCAGGATTCTAAAATCGAAAAAATTGGTAAAACAGTTCAAGAAGAAAAACCTGAAAAGGAGATTAATCCAGATGAAAATAAACTCTGGGAAATTGAGAAACCAAAATCTGAAGGTACAATGCTTGTAGAGCCACTAAAATGTGAATTAAAGTCAAAGATTCTAGAATCAGATACTATGCAAAAACTAAGAACTGAAATTGCAAACGTTACAGCTATAATCAAGAATGTTAGGCGACCAACACCTGAGCTTCAATCTGTTGAAAGTGAATTGACAATATTCACTGAAAAATTACCTAAACTCGAAAACAAGTTCGAAGAAATTGATAGAAATATTAAAATTATTGTAGAGGCAGAAAATTCTATCAAAACAAAGAAAACGAGCGATATTTTAGCCGTTAAAGAAAGCTTTTCAAAGTTTAAAAATCTTTTGACAGAAATAAGAGATTCAATTAAGCCAAATATTGACAAGGAAAAATTAACAAAGGAAGAAAAAACTGAAAATATTGAACAATCTCAAAGGTTAAAGCCAAAGGAAGAAAATGGAGACGAGAAAGTTGAGGTTAACAAAAAAGATGAAGCTGTTGAGGTTGCTTCACTAGTTGATGAAACTGAAGAAATAAATCAATTAAAATCTAAGGAAAAATTAAAACATGACGAAACTCAAAAGTCTAAGGATGTCGAAAAATCAGTAGGATTACCCAAGATTGAAGAAAAATCAAAACTTCTTGAATCAGCAGTAGTTCAAAAGTTAAGAACTGAAATTGAAAATGTTTCAAATACGATCAAGAAAGTAAAGCGACCTACTTCTGAACTCCAAAGTACTGACAGTGAATTAAGAATTATTATCAATAAATTGTCTGATATTGAGAACGATGTTGTAGAAATTAACAAAATCATAAAAATTATTATAAAAACTGAGGATTCAATTATTACCAAGAGAACAAGTGACATTTTAGAAGTAAAAGAAAGCTTATTATGCTTAAAAAATGTTTTGCAAGAATTAAGTGATTCAAAGAAATCTCACATTGAAAAACCTAAAGAAGAACAACCTAAAAATGAAGAAAAAGATGGAGTTTTCAAACAAATTGAAGAAATTATTATTGAAGAAAAACCTGAAATGAAGTTAGAACAAGAAATTTCTATTCAAAGCCAGAAAACAACGGAAAATCCTATAGAAATAGAGACACCTAAAGTTTTCGAGACAAAAAAATCTGAGCAAGAACCAAAACTACAAGAAATTGAAATTGATGTAAAAGAAAAAATTGTTAAAATCAGATTGGATGAAGCTTCATTGAAGATCAAATCCGAAATAGAAAATGTAATACATTCAATCAAAAAATCTCGCCGTCCAACGACAGAGATTCAAACACTAGAAAAGATATTAAACGCAGATTTAGAATTGAAAGTTCTTGTAGAACTTTCGAAGAATTTAACAAAAATTGAAGAAACTTTAAAATCAATTGAGGTCACGGAATCTTCATTAGCAACTAAAAAAACCTCGGATATGATACTCGTAAAAAATAATATCAATTTATTGAAGGAAGTTCTCATTTCATGCAAAACAAAATTATCTTCATCACAAGAAATAAGGGAACCAGAAAAAACCTCCATTGAATGTCTAAAACAAGAAATCAAAAGAGAACCTCAGAAACCTGAATTACCTGAATTGCCTGAATTACCGAAAGAATTTGAACAGCCAAGTGAAGTTCTCTTAGATATACACGAAAAAGATTTAATGTCCCAATATATTGTTGGTATTAAACAAGATATTGATGAAGTTCTGGTTCTTATTAAAAAGGCAAGAAGACCATCTGCAGAGTTGCAAACTTTACATGAGGCATTATTAGACTTAAAGCCTAGAGTTGACAATTTATCTAAAGATTCTACATACTTTGACACAGTGCTTCATATTGTAACAAAGGCAAAAACTGCATTGCTTACAAAGCGAACAATGGAAATGATTTTATTGAGGGAAAAAGTAACATCTCTTGAAAGTTCATTGATTCTGTTGAAATCGACTGTAATTACAGAAATCAATGGTGAAATTATTGCTGCAAAACAAATAGAGGAAACAGTCACAGAGAAAACAAAAGAAAAGGAAATAATTTTCAAAGAAAATGAAATTGTTTCTAATAATCAAAATGCTATACTTCCTGAACAAGAGGAAAAATTAAACAATGTTCTTGAAAAATCTGAACAAGAACAGGTGAAAAAGTTTGATGAATTTTTATGTGATCCAGTTAAACTCGAAGACACTGAGCCCCAAAAACCAGCAAGGCGACAAAAACATAGTGAAACTAGTAAAATTGATGAAATTGTTGAAACCAAAACTGAAAAAATCGAAAAAGTAGAATCCAAAACTCAAAAAAGACTTGAATCTGAAATCTCCCCTGCACCAACTGACAGACTTCGACAACGACAAAGTCATGAAATTTTAACAGAAATTCAAAGTGAAGTAGAGCCAGTTAAACCATTAAGACGAAAAAGAGCTGATGAGCTTAAAGAGGAAGAGAAATCTCTACCAAGAACACCAGAAACTCGCCGAAAGAGAATGCCAATATTTATTGCACGTCTGAAGAATCGTTCAGCTCCCGAGAATTCAATTCTCAAACTCACATGTGCTGTTTCAGAGCCTGAGGTTACTGCAAGATGGACCAAAAATGGGATGATCTTAAAAGATACCGAAAAATATTTGATTGAAAACAGCAATGGTGTTCTTTCATTAGAAATTAAGAACGCTTGTTTTCAAGATGCCGGAGAATATTATTGTTTTGTATCAAACAGTTGTGGTGAAATCGAAACTAGTGCTTTTGTTACAATCTTTGGCGAAGATGTACAACCATCAAATACAACCTTTACGAAGAATCTCAGGGGTGAGTTGATGATTTCTTATTTAAATCATTTTAATTTAATTGTCGGTTTCATGTGAATCAAAGTAAATGCTTAAATTATGTTTCAGCAAAACTTAGACATTTAATGCCAACTTCATATAGATTGAAATTCATTCATCACATGCAATTACGCTAAGGCTTTAAAATATCTTTAAATTTAGATCAATGTGCCGCGATGCACAACTGCTGACTTTTGTTGTTGTCTTGACAAAAACATGAATGCATGGTCTTGTCTATTTTTATCTTGTCATTATCTCTCAATTGAAAACTCTCTCATTGAGGCGATTACTAATCGATTAGAGGATTAAATTGTGGATGTAAATTTTCGCACAATTTCGCATCACTCACACATAAATTCAAGAAATTCGGTTAACGAAATTTTCTGAATTTCTATAAGATTCAGTCAATTGATTTTGTGCAGTCTTCTTGGTGCTTTCGATTGTTGAGGTAATAATACAAAAAAAAATTGATTTTTTCAGTGCAAAGTGAGACAAAGAAAAGAAAAAAATTATTTTTTGTAGAGCTAATTGGGTTGATTCGTGAGATTAGGTGGTGAAACACGCATAAGAAAAATTTCTAAATTTTAGTTTGAAAGTGATTTTATAATCAAAAATTTTTGTGTTGTAGAAAAGTAAGGAAAAAGATTAGTTGACGGTAAAAAAATGGTTCGCGAACGCCGTGGAAAAAAGAGCAAATCAAAGGATGTCGAAGAAGCACCTCCAGCTCCAGTATTATTGGAAGTACCAGAGCCAGCAATCAACAGGTTCTTCAAGCGTGAGAAATCACCATTTGAGGTAGGAGATAAAAAAGAATTACAGGTGGCATCATCAAATGCTATTATCGATAAAGCATGTGTTATGGACATTTCTGGAGGTGCTGCTCAAGTCGCAGCCAAAGTTGACGAATATATTAATCTCCTCTTTACCGATTATTGCGCACTCGATCAAGCGAGCTGTGGTGATATTAGTAAAGAAATTAAGATTGTTGTTATTGAAGAGGAGGGCGATTTAGCATCCATACAACCCGCTCTTAGCGTCGAAGAAGAAGAGAAACAAAGACAAGAAGCTGAAGAAGCTGCACGTATAGCAGCAGAAGAAGAAGCAAAGAGACGTGCCCAGGAGGAACAAAGAGCAAGAGAGCAAGCAGAAAGATTAGCTCGTGAAGAGGAAGAACGTATCGCCCGCGAAGAAGCAGAAAGGATTGCTGCTGAGGAGGCTGAAAAGTTAAGAATTGAAGAAGAGAAGCAAAAAGTAAGTATGTTTTTAGGCTAGATGATGATCTACTTTAAAAAAACAATTTGATGATCAAAGAGAATTAAAATAAAAGCATGATTAAATATGGATAGGCAGCTGAAGAGGAAAAGCGCAAAAAAGCCGAAGCTGAAGCCAAGAAAAAGGCTGAAGAAGAGGAAAAGGTATTTTTTTTTCAATGATGTCACACATTAGTTTACACCAATATAAACAATATTTACACAAAACACACTTCAGACAATTAAAATTCTAAACACGTGCAACACCAGACATGACACAGATTTTTTGATAAAGAACACAATTATTTAAACCTTAAATGAAGAAGAAAGCTTGAAAAAAAGTTTGAACTTGATATTTTATTGTGACATCATTTCCAAATGTTTTGTGATCACCGCGATTTGCTGAATAAATAATAATAATAAAAATAAAAGGCCAAAAAAGAAGCCGAAGAGAAAGCACGACTAGAAGCCGAAGCAGAAGCTGCACGAAAGAAGGCCGAAGAAGAAGCATACGACTCCGATCGTGAATTAATTCCACCGAAGGAAGACGATGGCATTGATTGGGCAGCAGTCGAAGAGGAAGCACCGTTAGTACCAGACGTCTTACAAGAACTTCTTGAACAACGTGCTACCGAGGACGAGGAAGAGACCGCAGAAGAAAGTGAAAAAGAAATGACTGAAAGAGATCGCGATTTAGAATGGCAGCGTCAACGACAAATGATGAGACCGCCATTGGTGATCTCACATTTAAAGTCGCGTGCTGTTCCAATCGGTTCAACAGCCAAACTGACATGTAATGTCACAGGGCCAAGTCTAAGTGTACGTTGGTTGAAAAATGGCAATCCAGTTGAACTCAAACCTGAAAAATATAAGTTTTTCAATAGCGAAGGCTTATTAAGTTTAGAAATTTTGAATGTCAGTAAAAGAGACGCTGGCGAATACACGTGTTTCGCTAAAAACAAAAATGGTGAAACATCTACAATCGCTTCAGTTACTGTTTATGACACAGACGTTGAACGTCCAATCCCACCTACATTTATTACAATCAAAGGTAAAAATGAATTTTATTTCTTGACATTTTCAATGCAATTGAAAAAGTGGAACAAGTGAAATCCGAAAAAAAATATTCTAAATCAGTCTAGTGAAGTGAAATTATTTTACTATCATATTCCTGTTGCATATTAATAACAAATCATTCATCTTTAACTTTATTTTCTTTTTTCATAATCTCGTTATTCGTTAAAATGAAAATCATATCGAAAATCGAATCACTTAAAAAACCTCACAATCAATTATTAACAACAATTGCATTCAGATAGGAGCAAGGTAGATGAGCCACCAAAAGAAGTAGAAGAAAAGATTGAACTGGATAAATGGGGTGATCCAATAAAAAAGCGTAAACGTAAAGTTCGGCCCTTATCATTATGGGCACAGCGTGAAAAGCTTGAATTTACGGTTCATTTACCGGCGACCTTAACCGTCATCGAAGATAGGAATGCTCGTTTCATTTGCGGTGTAAGTGGAGGAGGTGATTTGGAAATTACATGGTATAAGAATGATAGGAAAATTCGTTTTGAAAGATTTCCACGCATATTGGATTATACACGCAATTCAACAGGATGTATTGGAATTGAATGCTCTCAAATTGCTGATGCTGGAACCTATAAATGTACATTTACTGATAAGGAAAAAGGAGAAACTCTTACAACTCAATGTGAATTGATTGTTGTGCCAAGGATCAAGAGGACAAAGGAGTTGTCAAGAAAAATTCCACCAGCTTTTGTCCGAAAGCTTCAATGTAAGTTATTCTATTATATTCAAAATCTAGCAAAATCATTATGCAATTTTGATGCACAAAATTTAAATCTAAAATCAGCTCTATTAATAGCCACAAATTTTTTATCTTTTCTTTTCTCTTCTTACATCAATCACCTTTCGTTTACTAATCGTTTCAACTGACTTGGTGACGCGTGTTTGAATAAATATAAACAATTTAGACACTTACAAGCCCGAAGATGATCAATTAATAGTTCATTGTACGATTCTTGCTAATCCTGAACCTTCAATAAAGTGGTATGTACAAAAGGTTCCACTTCATTTATGCCCCTTGCCACGTGTTACGGTTTTTAATCATCCTGATGATGTTCATGAACATACAATTGCTTCATTGGTTATATTAGGACCTTCGTATTTGGATAATGGTGAATACGTTATCGAAGTTGAAAACGACGCTGGTTTTGAGCGTAGAACTTTGAATATTCAGTTCCAAACCGAGGAGGAATACAATGAGAAATATTATCAACGTTATTTGGAGCATAAAGAACATTTTAAGTTACACGAATATGGTCCTGGTGAAGAACGCTGGGAAGACATAGTCCCAGAAGTCAAGGAATTTCATTTTTATGAGCCAGAACCAGAAGTTGGTGTCAAGAAAGTTAGTGCTGGTGGAAAAACTAGAATGCGTAGGAAGAAACATCGATTAATTAAGAAAAAAATGATGATGCCATGGGGTGAAGAGGAAGAGCACGAAGTAACTGATGAAGATGCTAGCTCTGAATCATACACAGGCAGTGAGAGCGAAGCAGTTGCTTCTGAACCAGAAGAAAAAGAGGACTGGGGTGTTGAAAGTGAGCCTGAAGAAGAACCACAACCTGCTGTCGAAGAACATATAGAAACTGAACCCCAGTCTGAGATTGTTGAAGAACAAAAAGAACCCCAGACTGATATTGTTGAAGAACAAAAAGAACCCGAATCAGTGCCTGAGATTGTTGAAGAACAGAAATTGCCTGAACCAGAACCTGAGATTGTTGAAGAACAAAAATTGCCTGAACCAGAACCTGAGATTGTTGAAGAACAAAAAGTGCCTGAACCAGAGCCTGAGCCTGTTATAGAACCAATACCTGAGTCTCTATCGAGTCCTGAAATTCAGACAGGAAATATAGAATTAGATGAACCTTCATATAGACCGCCAGAGTTTGAAGATTTTGAACCAAAGAACAGAGATTACGAGCCAGAAGTCGTTAGAATGCGCCAAGAGGATCCTGAATTTCCTTACATTTGGAAGCGTCCCAAGTTTTACATCACCGATTTTCAATTACGAAAAAAATTCTATTTTGTCAATAAACTTATTGATGTGGAACTTGTCAAGGGTAAAACTTTACGTTTAGAAAGTTTTGCAGCTGCTCTCGGAAAAGTTACAGTCGAATGGCGTTTTAATGGTCGCATTATTGGAGAAACTCATAGAAGAACAATTGAATTTAATCCACATAGAAATTTGACAGTACTTGAAATTGAAAACACTCGTGTTCAGGACAGTGGAACTTATTCTGTTGTATTTTACAATGACTTTACTGAACCGTTAATTGATGCCTGCAAGGTCAATATAATTGTGCCAAAACCATTAGAGACGGCTGATCAACCACCAACATTCACACGTCTTATCACAGGTATTAATCATTACAAGTTACTCAAGTTATAGATTTTTCGTAGATAGAAATAAATTCGTAGATTTTTCTTTTCTGATTCGCAAAAAAAAAAGATTTTTTTAATTAATTGAGAGTCTGAACCTCTTAAATATTTATTTTCATATCCGCTCGCTTCAAGGCTTTTAAATTAACTTCTAGTTCAAAGTAATTTTAAGTTTAAAATTTTGCAACAAAGTTGCTATAATGAAAGCTTTCAATTAGTTTCAATTGTATATTAGTATTTTACAGGATCAGAAAAGTAACAAATTTACGAAAAACTTTTTAATTCAATTATTCAAATAATAAAATGAATTATTATTCCTGCAGATACTTATAAAGATTGGACCGACGAATTAATTCTTGATTGTCATGTTAGAGGTATTCCAAAACCAACTGTTACATGGTATAAAAATGGTAATGAAGTGCCTACAGACAATCCACGTTATCATTTTGAACACGATGATGATGGCAACTGCACATTTACAATCATAAACCCTATCAAAAATGCTGACAGAGGTCGATATGTTGTAAAGGCAAAAAATCATGTTGGTGAAGATGAATGTCAATTGCGTGTTTGGTTCCGTGGAAAGGAAGATGATGATATGCACGAAAGAGCTGAATATCGACGTACACAAAAAATGTATAAGAGTCGACATGTGAAGGAAAAAGATGAAGATGAATGGGGTGGTGAACTTTATCATTCAAAACGTTTAGATAAGCAGAAAGATTACGACCATCGATACAAATTAAGCTGGTTAAGTCGCATAACAGCACAAACTTTGGCACAGGGATCATCATTGAAATTTGTGGCATTTGTCGATGGCAAATACCCGCAATTCGAGTGGTATTTTAATGATATTCCACTTGTTCATGGTCGTAAATACCGTCAAATTGTTACAAAAAATGGCAAAGGATGTCTCATCATTAATAATGTTCAACCAATGGATTCTGGAATTTATAGATTGGTTGTCAAAAATTATGCTAACAGCATTGATTGTGAGGCAAAAGTGACGATTTACGCATATGAACATAAAAACTTTGAGCCTCCATTGTTTTTAAATACACTAGCAGGTAAAATTTGGCTGTTCAGTGTTGTAATTACGTTCAGTTTATAAAGATAAGTATGATATGTGTAATAATAATTATTTATGGTTCTTATTATAAATGACTAATATAAGTCTATAGCAAAGGCTAAAATATAATTCATAATAGATTGTATTTTATGTACTGTTATAGCTGATGACTTTGTGTTATTTTATATGCATTGATGCCATGTAATTAAAATAAATATGAAGTTTGCTGTACACATGAACAGAAAAATAGAAATCAGAATAGATTATTCAAAAAATATTGCTTGTTTTAATATTATGGTTTCATCATTCATATATGAATTCAATTCCAATAAAGCGGATTATCGTGAATACCAAAATATTTAACCGACAACCAATAAAATATTTTTAAAATACCTAGATAAACACATGAAACCAGTGTTGCAAATGTAGATGTCTACACTAGATGAAGAATGTAGATTCTTCAATAGTTTTTGTCTAGCTAAGAAACTTTCTTCATAAAGATCGATTCTACATGTAGAAAGAAAAAAACCATCTACATGTAGATTGTGTCTACATGTAGAATCTGTCTACATGTAGATTCGATGTAGATGTCTATAATTCTACATTTTTTCCAGGTCTACATCAGAGAAGAATGTAGAATCGTAGACATCTACATTAAATCTACATGTAGACAGATTCTACATGTAGACACAATCTACATGTAGATGGTTTATTTCTTTCTACATGTAGAATCGATTTTATGAAGAAATTTCTGTCTCAGAATTTATCTGATCCAGACAAATAGCCAGAATGCAACACTGCATGAAACTGACAATTCAAATTTTTAGAATTTTTTAAAAATCTTTTCGATACACATTTCACATGTATCATCCTGCAAAAACCTCAATTGGAAAAAAATTTGCACTCAAAACAAAGCTATAAATCCATGAAAAAAATTGTCCATTTCCAGACTCATATGATCAAGTGACTAACAAGTTAATCATTGAATGCAATATTAAAACCTCATTGGACTTTTCCAATCATAAAATCAAGTGGTATAAGGACGATATGGAAATGCGTCCATCATATATGACATCGTCAGGTGGCATACCAACGACATATGAACAAGAAATAGACGAAAATACGGGTCGTGTGAAACTAATTATAACTTATCCGATGAATACAGATTGTGGATTATATAGATGTTGTGTGCACGATAAAAATTCACATAAAGTGGACGAAATATCACATTTAGTGTACAAAATATTCAATCCTCCGCCTCACATTCCGCTCGAGGAGCTAGAAATTGGTGAGAAGAGAAATCGAATTGTATTTGACAATCATCTAAATGACATTTATGCTGACGATACCAACAAAAGTATTCGTTTGAATTGCAAAATTTCACAGTGCAATGCACAGTCAGAAATTAAGTGGTATAAAAACAATGAGGAACTTCCGATTGAGGACTATCGAGAAAAGTACCGCTTCACAAAATCCTATAATAGATTGTGTCTTGAAATTTTACATCCGAAATTGAACGATGCAGGAGTATACGAGTGTAGTGTAAAAAATCAGTACAATGAGACATCTACAAAATGCCACGTCTATGTCAACGAAAAGGCTGAGAGACAACGTTCAAAGACCACGCCTAGAGGTGAGCTTTACATTTCAATCATGCAAAAGTTTTAATTGATTTTTCCTGCAATTGAAAGCCAAATTTAATTTAGATTTAGCGGATTTAGCTTAAAATTTTTGAGAATATTCAGAATATTCTGATACGAGAGAAAAATCAGTTCAAAACCTAAAAATCAATTGATTAAATTTAAAAAAAAATTATTCATTCGATTCATTTATTCATTTTATAGAATCGAGTTTCATTGATTTTTCAACTGGAACCATAATTGATAAGGAACAATCTGTCAATTATCAAGATGAAATTGAGGACAGTAATAAAATCCTACTAGAAAGAAGTACGAGGGAAATTGCAGCAAGAATCCATCGATCAACAGACCTCATTGATATTCCACCATCTTCAGTTACATTTACGGCAACTGAACGACCGAATTTTGCAACACCACTCAGTGATCGAATGGTTACTGAAAATTCATCATCTGTGAAATTCACATGTTCTTTACTCTCGCCTGAATGTGATATTTCGTGGGAGAAAAATGGAATTCCAATTCGCCCTTCATCTAAATTCACACAAACATTTACCGATGGTTTAGCAATATTAGAAATTTTTGACGTGTCTGACGATGATGCTGGTAAATATGCATGTACTGCATCAAACAAGTTTGGTGACAACTCAACATCGGCTAGATTAAAGGTTTATAGTGGCTTTAAGCCGTCTGTTTGTATGCCACCAACAGTAATGCGACAAATGAAAGGTAGGAAAGGGAAGTTTGGTTTTGTGAAATTCTTAACATCATTCAATTTTTCAGGAATGATGAGAAGATTTCTATACAATAAAAGAGAGTAAAGTTCATCACTTTATATCTCAAGTTGTTGTTAAGTTTTTTTATGTTATGTTCTGTACATCTCGTATGTCAACGTTTTATTTCAAACAGAGTTGCGATCTGTCACAGGTCAACAAAAACAGCCCACCTGTCACAGGCCGTTACCTGTTCACAGGTCAAATTTTTTCGCCTATCACAGGTCTGACCTGTCAAAGGTTCTACCTGTCACAGGTCGTTACCTGTTCACAGGTCAAATTTTTTCGCCTGTCACAGGTCTGACCTGTCAAAGGTTCTGCCTGTCACAGGTCGTTACCTGTTCACAGGTCAATTTTTTTCGCCTGTCACAGGTCTGACCTGTCAAAGGTTCTACCTGTCACAGGTCGTTACCTGTTCACAGGTCAATTTTTTCCACCTGTCACAGCTCTGACCTGCCGCAGGCCTCACCTGTGACAGGTCGTCACCTGTTGACAGGTAGAAAAAATCTACCTGTCACAGCTTGACCTGTCACCTGTCACCTGTCACCTTTGACTATCGAAATTTTTTTCTTCTAGTGAAGTATAAAGATTTCAAACAAAATTCATCAATTTTTTTTCTTCCTCAAGTCACGGGTTCAAATCTCTTCGCAAGCAACTTTCTTTTTTTGCATTTTTATGATTTGTTTTTAAACTTTTTTGATAAAATATTAAGTTTTATGACAAAGTTTTCCATTTTCATATTTTATTTCTTCACTTTCTATATTTTAACATGTATTTTAAATTTTTTCCATATATTTTCATACAAATTCAACTTTTTTTGTCATACTTTAGTTTACTAAGCTGAAATCTGACACAAAGGCTCTTTTCCTAGATCCAGATATTCTGAAATCGTAATCTTGGATCATAAAATGGCATAAAATATTAAAACTAGTATAGACTTTGTCATTCGAGACCGCAAAAATTCGAAATATATAAAAAATTATAATCCAAGATTACGATTTCAGAATATCTGGATCTAGGAAAAGAGCCTTTGTGTCAGATTTCAGCTTAGTAAACTAAAGTATGACAAAAAAAGTTGAATTTGTATGAAAATATATGGAAAAAATTTAAAATACATGTTAAAATATAGAAAGTGAAGAAATAAAATATGAAAATGGAAAACTTTGTCATAAAACTTAATATTTTATCAAAAAAGTTTAAAAACAAATCATAAAAATGCAAAAAAAGAAAGTTGCTTGCGAAGAGATTTGAACCCGTGACTTGAGGAAGAAAAAAAATTGATGAATTTTGTTTGAAATCTTTATACTTCACTAGAAGAAAAAAATTTCGATAGTCAAAGGTGACAGGTGACAGGTGACAGGTCAAACTGTGACAGGTAGATTTTTTCTACCTGTCAACAGGTGACGACCTGTCACAGGTGAGGCCTGCGACAGGTCAGAGCTGTGACAGGTGGAAAAAATTAACCTGTGAACAGGTAACGTCCTGTGACAGGCAGAACCTTTGACAGGTCAGACCTGTGACAGGCGAAAGAAATTGACCTGTGAACAGGTAACGACCTGTGACAGGCAGAACCTTTGACAGGTCAGACCTGTGACAGGCGAAAAAATTTGACCTGTGAACAGGTAACGACCTGTGACAGGTAGAACCTTTGACAGGTCAGACCTGTGATAGGCGAAAAAATTTGACCTGTGAACAGGTAACAGCCTGTGACAGGTGATCTTTTGACAGAAACTGTCACCTTTACCTGTGACAGGTACCTGTCGTCGCAACTCTGATTTCAAATAACCTGTGTCGTGATCGTGATGTCTACTGACAAGTTATTGTGAATTTTCATCATTTTGTCTTAACTTTTTTCGGCTTCATTTTAATACAAAATACAAAATGCGCACTTGTAAACTACCAATCAAAAGCATCCTTAACTTTTGTGTTTTTCATCATTTTCTATAACACTATAGAACTATGTAACATAATAACCCCTCTTCATTCACTGTTTTTATCTCTTCAGACATTCGTCTATCATTTCATTTCATAGTTTTTTATATATTTTTCGGATGCAACGCTTCTTCTACTTTTTAAGTCTATATTTTATTTTATTCTCTTTAATGAATGACTTTTTCTTTTATTCTTCATGGGTGCTTTGTGAGGATAATTGAAGAGTTTTTACGGAACTAAATTTATTTATCCACCGGAATCAAAAGGAATCATTAAAAAGCATATTGATTGGGTCAGGGATTGAATATTTAAGAGGAAATTCCATTTGAGCTAGATAAAACAAATGCAAAAATTTTTTGAAACATTCCTTTGCAGATGTCAAAGCGAAAAGAAAGAATAAATAGTAAAAGTGGTAAAAGTCGTATAACTTTTTACATTTTTAAAAGAAATTATGAACTCAACATACCATGCCACACTCGTAATATAGAGTAATTTTATTCTTTGATTAAAAAAATTAATTTCATTTCTTGAAGATGAAAAATTTTAATTAAAAAAAATTGTTCACTACAAAAAAGTCAAGACTTTTGACACTAGTGTATTCCAAAATTTATTTTAATTCGGAAGTTGCTACATGATTCTTTCTTCTGTTACATATTGGTGATGATGTATTATTCATATATAAATTGATCAACCTTAAAGCTTTCAAATTTAATTTTAGCAGCATACACAAGGCTATCTAAAATCAAAAACAATTTTTGAACTTTCGATATCAATTTAAATTCTTTTCAAACCACTATCACAGAAAGCAAAAAAAAAATGTGAAAAATGAGAAAAAAAGGAAATTCATGCAGAGAATAAAAAAATTTAATCTACTCTAATTGCATTTTTCATTCCATTTGAGTTTCAATAACAATAAAAAAAATTCTTTTCTCGTGTGTTTGAACAAATATAGAAAGCTACAATCTCTATAATGACTTGTTGACATTGGAGTGTCGTGTACGTGGAACACCAAAGCCTCACATTCAATGGATGAAAGATGGCGATTATATCATGCCGGGAGATAAGTACCAACAAACTGAATTACCTGATGGCACATGCAAATTGATAATCCAATCACCGGATCCGGAAGAAGACTCAGGAACTTATACATGTGAAGCTGAATGCAATGGCTGCAGTGATAGCATCAGTCATAATGTTCAATATGAGGGCTCAGTTGAAAATCAATTCAATCGCGTTCACCGTTATTATCATCGTGATCCATTAAAGCCATACTTTAAAACAGGCTTAGTTGATACAAATGTTCCATCAGGTGGTAGTATTGCACTATTTGTCGAATCACAAGCAAATTGCGAGGCTGAATGGTATCGTGATAGATGGATAGTCGATCATAAGCCACCAAAACGTTACATTTTCAATGATGGAAGTGGTTTCTTTGCCTGCGTAATTAATCATGCTACAATGGATGAAGCAGCAAAATATAGCTGTAAATTATCAAATCCCTACGGAACATCACAATCAACATCATTCATTGATGTTATTAATCCAAATCAAGTTGGTAAGGGTCAAAAACCGCCAATATTTTTGACACGTCCTCAACCAGAAATCAAGATTCGTGCTGGTGATCCATTCTCAATGTCGTTCAGAGTTCAAGGCGAGCCAAAACCAAGAAGTGAGTATTTTACTGTTTACTTATACCTTTACTTTATTTTCATTTCATTTAATTGCACTTTATTACCAATGCATACAAAAATAAAACAACATTGTTTAGTTCAATGGTATAAGGGCGCCAGAGATATTACTAATGCCGGTCGCACTATCAAAGAAGTCTTCAACGATTACGTTCGATTCTCAATTAAAGAGTCAAAGGAGAATGATTCTGGAATTTATTTCATTACCGCTAGAAATAGACACGGAGTTGATCGCTCCTTCTGTCAAGTTACGGTGAGTTAATTTTTCTACACCTCAGTAAACTTTTTCAAATGCATAAATTATGATAAGCAAAACGAATATTATAACACTTTAGGAATGAAAATTTATTACAATTTTATACAGGCATTAACTCATTTTTTATTGCCATCTCGAACCCTTGGTACACTGAAAATTCGACATGTTCTCTAGCATTCCATATAATTTATATTAATACACTACACACACATATAAACATATATCTCATCTCATTCTTTTGTGATTGCATGCAATAGATTTCTATTCTCGGTATGTGGCACTGTTTACATTCAAGTATGAGGGGGAGAAAATAATTCAAAAAATGTAGTTTGTTGAATGTCGTGATTTAATGGAGCAAAATTTATACCACATAGGGAGAATAAGACAGAAAAAGCATAGAAAATCATAAAGTTGTTATAACATAAAAAAAAATTTTCTTGATTTTAATTTATTAACCTAAAATATATTTTAAGAAGGAAAACTTTTTATTATTTTTTCGGTCCATAAATTATGGAACAAAATTTCTTTCCTTTAAAGTTTTATTAAAACTACTTTTAAAAGCTAGGATCTTTCCTTTCGTATTGCTCCCATCATTTCATGTTAAAATGGAAATTTTTTGGACGAAAAACTCAATTAGTACAGAAGCATCTAAAAAGTGAAATAATCTCTCTAGTGATTTATGTAAATGAATAAATAAATTGACCAAGGGATGATAAATGAGTGCGAAATATTTTTTAAATGAGCTTTATAAATAAGAGGTATTGTATCAATTGATTATTTCAATCGGAAATTTTATGAATATGCATGATTTAAATAAAAAAATTGTTGCTCATTAAGACATCCCTTGATATTCAAATTTATTTTAGTGAAGGAAAATTTTAACTTTATAAAGACAATCTTTCTAATTTAAATATTTCTTCACCCTCATTTAATACTTGCAGTGACACATAGCTTTCAACTTAATACTCGTCATGAACTATAGTACCATTAAAAGCATTAACACTAACTCAATATACTATTTCACCCTCCTACATTATATTAAATTAAATGTGTATATACATTAAACAAAGCCAGAGATTTAAATCACCTAAACACCTTAATTTCTGCTTAATTGCTTGTGCTCATTTACATTTTATGAGTTCGACCGCGAGTTCATATATAAATGTAAATGGGAAGGAGAAAATAATTTTCCGCTAATTTGCTTATCGCACAATTTTATTCTCTCATTCTTTTTCTCTTTATTTTCCGGCGTTTGCAACACTGTAACATGCTATTGCTTTCTAATGACTTGGCTGCATAACTCGCTTAAATTGAATGAATAAATCCAACTAACATGATTTTTAATAAAATTAACATAAAATACTGCCAAAATATGAAAAATAAAAATCATAGGTTAAGCAAGCCCGTACAGGCAAAAAAGATGAAAAGAAAATTGAAGAGAAAGTTGAAGAAAATGTTGAAACTGTTGACAGGTCCGAGAAAGGCAGGAACTAAGCAGTAGCGATGCAGCAAAACTGTCAAATATTGACTTTACTGATGTTTCGTACATGAAAAGTAAGTAGGCGTTAGAAGGAATTAAAAATTCTTCTGTAATTGTAATAAGCTCTTATTTTTGTCGTGTCACTCACCACTGTAACTGCCCTTTATTGTTCATAACTATCTTTTTGTTGGTCAAACGTGAAGAGACAATTTATTTACCATCTTGAAAATATCTTTGTCTGCTTATCACACTCAACACGTTCAATAAAGTGAGAGCATGGAAAAAGGATTAAAGGAAAAAGAAAAAAGCTAAAAACTGTTGATAAAATAAAAAGTTTCTCATATTATCGTTAATAATACATTTAATTTATGCAAATTGACTTTCATAAAAATATTCTATATTAATAAGTGCCATTTTTTGTGTTAGAAGTTTTTTGGTCATAAAAAGTGATAATGGTATGCCATTAAAATTAATGTGTCGCCGTGGAATGGTTTTCTTTCATTGTGTATTTTTTATTTAAAAAAAATGATGAAAAATTTTGTATGTTCACACGATATGGAAATTGCGTATAATTTTTTTTACATCTTACAACTGTGAGAGAATTTCCTTTGTGTATATGCAAAGATTATAAGAGGAAGTGAATAAATTTTATAATGATCCATAAGAGAATTAAGTGTCGGATAGAAATAAAGAAAAAATGAAGTGCGTGTATAATAAATCAAGAGAACATAAAGATAAGTGTAATCGTACATAACACTTCTATATGTTCAGTGTCAAGGATGTCGTGTTTTACAATATTTTCATGCATAAAATTAGTGAAGTGATTTTTTAATAGTGCTTGTTTGAGGGTAATTTAAACGGATTATGGGCTCTTTTTTATTTGAATGGTTATGAATGGAAATTTATTTTTCCTCTGAGATTTATAACAATGTAAAAAGTATGTTTTATAGAGGAAGAAGCCTGATTTTATGCTTTAGAAAATACATTATAAATATTTTACAGCCATCAGAGCATTTATTGTCGTAAGAGTTTGGCAAATCTGTTAAAAATTTGACTATATTATAGTTGCCTAACATTAAGGGGTTTATGGAATATGAATTTTTTTATTTGAATTTGTCAATCTTTAAAAATTATCAAATCTTTATAATATAAAAATCCGTTAAAAATTTTTAAACTTGGAAAATATAAATTTTAAATCTTCACTTTTTATTTAAAAAAAAATATTTTGTGTTAAAAAAATTTTTGTGTTCATCTTTGTTTGTGTTTAACTGAAATTGCTGTAAAATGTAAGTATGACTTAATAATCGTTTAATATAAGGAAAATCTGTTATGATTGCTTTATAATTGTCATGATATGTCTTGCTATTTCCTGTACTTATCTTTCGTTTCAGTTCAACTTTTAAAAAATGAAATAAAATCAATTTTTGCACACATTGCAAAACATATTCTAAAGAGAGAGAAAGAGAGGTAGAGAAGGGATAATGACACAATAATCGAGCAACATGTTACTTTATTAAATATATTTCTTGTTTAATATCTTAAATTATAATATTAGCATTAATATTTGATTTTTATTTGACTTAAAAATTATTATTGTTATTTTTTGTGCTTGGATAAATTTAAATATAACATTTTTCTGCATATATCTATCCTCAGAACAATAAAAAATAAAAATTCAACATCACCCTTTATAGGATATCAGCTCCTCAAGCAAAAGAATTCGGTCGTTTAAATTAGAACAAAATCGTGCTTATATTTTTTTCGTCGCTTGAGAGTAAAAATTTAAAATTTGAAGATTTTGAAAAAAGAAAAGTAGTATTTTAGTAAAGTCTGATAAATAAATGGTTAAAATCTTCAATAAATTATTTCTTCAAATACACATATTTTTTACTTGCTGGAAAAATTTCTAATATTTTTTTTTTCAATTTTTACAATGATTTTCAACTAGTTTTATTTCACTATAAATCATTTTTTATTCGTAGATATAGTCTAATTTTTTAATGACAAAAATTCTTTCACATCAATATTTTATAAACAGTTTATTATATTATTCCCTTTTTTCTTAATTACTTCATTTTTATTGAATAATCTGCAAATTAATTCAATAAATTTCAATCTGTAATCTCTAAATTAAATGGGTGTTCGTCAAATTCGTGTATCTTTATTATTCATGTTTATTTGATTAAGATTAAACTTTGGATTATTAAATGATGAAGAAAAGAGGAAAATTGTTCACTGATCCAAACATCCAAATTTAAATTTTAAATCAAAATAAGAATCATGTAAAATTTATAAATGTAAGTGTAGTGACTTTTTTTAAAGAAAAAAACCTTAAGATAATTATGTAATGAAAGAAATAAGATTCAAAACCTTATTCGCCGAGAAGTAAATTCGTTGCAGAATGTTTCATATCAATATTTTTTCCAATATCTTACTTCTTTTGTCTATCAAAGTCTGTCAAAAGTTCCTTTTGGAATTGGAAACAAATTCAAAGTGTTGAAATATTTGCACACGAGAATATTCTTTATCGGGAATCAATCTAAAATCAAAATAAATAATATATGCCATATGTAACTTTTAATAAAAGAAATACAATAGCATTATTGTATTTGAAAAATTCTTTTTTTTTTAATAAAACGATTTAAAAAAAATTATGTTATTTCCTTGCAAATATGAATTGAGATGTGAACGAATAATATAAAAGCTTTTTTACTTTTCTCTTTGTCAGTCAACAACTTGATTCTCCATACGTTAGGAACATCCACAACAGTATAATAATAAAAGTAACATGAAAGAATTTTCCAAGAGACAATCGTCCTTTTTTGTTTACTTTTGAAACAATATTGAAATTTTGGTTTATTGTCACACCTACAAAGAGTTAAATTTTTACTTATTTTTTTAAAAAAAAAAAAATTGAAACTCAAAACTAGTTTCATTCGATTTATACACTTCAGGGGATTTACTTTTTGCCATATAGCTTTACATATCGACTGAAACATACAGTGGCATCGACAAACAAAATCAACATAAGGAGCTTATTGCAATTACTGCAGCATAAAATGAAAAAAGAACTATAGAATAATAAAACTGCAACTGTTTTTCTTTCTTTTCTCTTTATTATGTATGTCAATTCTGTATACTCAATTTACAAAATTGCACAACACATTATGAATTCCATTTCTCTCATTTCGACAATATGTAATGAATGAATTCATGTGCTCTACAATTGTTAAAACAAAAAAAGATCCCCCAGGTCAAATACCAAATGAGCCAACAGTCATTGACAGTAGTGCCAATCACTTGAGCTTATCATGGATGAAACCGCAATGTAATGATGCAGCTCCAGTAGTTGGATATCGTATTGATGTATGGCTTGTCGGAAAGGAAGGTGACGCTACATGGAAGGAGATTGGTACATCGGGTTTGGCAAGTTTTGACGTTTTTAATCTAAAACATGGTTGTGAATATCATTTTCGTGTGACGCCACGTAATCGTTACGGCTATGGACCATCCACACAAACCACATATCCAGTAATGTTTGGAGATGTCGTAAAATTGCCTGAATTTACAAAAATTCTACCCGGACAACTTAAAGCTCTCATCAATGATGACATAACACTTGAATGTGTTTCAATGGGTTCACCACGTCCCGATATTGTATGGTACAAGGACGGTATTAGAATAGATTCAAATGAGAAACATGTAATCTCCGTTATGGGTCCATTGTGTCGCTTGATAATTCACAATGTTACAGAAAATGATAATGGTCGTTATACATGTGAAGCATCGAATAAAGAGGGTCGCGTATCGACGTTTGCGCGCGTACAAACTGTCACAGATCCAAAATTACTTGAAGCGGATAACAAATTAAAGAAAAACATTGAAACTGATTTAGAGCAATTGAGTGTTGGCGATGAAATTTTGCCACAATTTACTATGAGATTAAGAGATCGACGAGTTCAATGTACTTATCCCGTAAGACTAACATGCCAAGCACTTGCTGTACCACATGCAACTATTGAGTGGTTTAAAGAAGGCATTAAACTTATCGAGGACGACCGAATTGCATTCTTGCAAGAAAATCAATTCAGTACACTTGAATTTTCACGAACATATCTGGAAGATAGCGGACAATATACAGTTACTGCGCGCAATGAACTCGGTTCAGTTTCATGTCATTGTAATCTCACAGTCGATAAAGGTATCCGCGCTTACATTTCACCAGAATTCATCAAACCACTTGACATCGTTTGCACGTATAATGAAGGACAGGATATTCATTTGGAAGCACATGTTGAAGCATATCCTTCTGTGGGAGTAACTTGGCATCATAACGGTATAAGATTGCGACCGAGTCGAAAAATTCAAGCATCATTGGATTGCGATGGAATTGTTTCATTGATAATAACGGAAACGACAGTGAAGGATGCAGGCACGTACACGTGTGTAGCATCGAATGCTGTCGGAAGAGTAGAAAGCACTTGTCGCATTAACATTATCGAGAATAGTGACAAAAAATCCCGAGTTATTCCATCAATTGTTGCACCTGATGCACCGTAAGTATTTCATGTTTTTCACAATTAAAAACATTTCTGTATTTATAAAACTAAATTTATCATCACTAGATACTCCAAAGAACCACTGTTCCTCATAAGACCAAGATCGAGCGAAGCATTTGAAGGTGATACAGTTATTATTATGTGTGAAGTCATTGGAGATCCAAAACCAGAAGTCCTTTGGCTGCGAGATTTTTTAAAGGTAAGATAATCATTATAAAAAATTTAATAATTTTTCTAATCATAACAGTAGCCTAGATAAGCAAAATAATGCATTTTGAAATAAGTTTAAAATATCTAGCTATATTCTACCTTGACTGGCAGATTTAAGTGCTTATTTGAAAGAATACTATCAAGAAAAATTTCTTTCAAATAACTTTTTAACTCACGTTTCATTCTTTTTATTCTTTGACATTTCTCTTCTGTTCAAAATCAAATGACATGTTCACTCACGTCGAGTTGAACAGGATATTCATGCAAATGTCAAATAAATGCAAAATGAAATTCTATAAACGAAAATATAGAAAGATTTTTTTTCACTTGAAAAAATTTGTCAATTCACATCGAAAGCAGGTTTAGGCATTGGCATAAGAACTTCATGCTGTTTTGTTTCTTCAATTTTACTTTTTACTTTCATTTCCTCCTTTTTCACGTCTTTTTTGACAAATATCTCAACAAAATGTGAAAAAATTACATCACATTACTTATACGACACAGTATGAAGCCCTAAAGAAAGCTCCCTAACGTATGTGGTTATGATGGATGATGTGACTACAAAGGCAAAAAAAAATATTTTCATCAAAAAAAAGTTCTGAGGGAAATGTGATTGCTGACAGGAGTTGATAATAAATTCCTTGATTACCATTTAAGTTATTGCTTTAATTCAATTCAAAAGCTGAGGAATAGTTCATTTATTCATTCAACTGGAAATATTAGTCAAGTGGAAATTTATTCCACCGATAAACAATTTTATTACTTCCAAAATCTTCTTAAAAGGACAATATCATTCTTAAACCTTCATCCAAAAATATTATATTTCTAAGCAAAGTAAAGAACAGGAATAAAATTTTTATTCATTGCGTTTAGACAAACAAAAAAGCTGATAAATTTAACTTCCTTCCCTTTATCTGTCAATCACATCAAAATAAATAAGACAACTCTTGTAGAAAAAATAGAAAAATAATGGCGACTGTAAACAAAACATTAAAAATAAATTAACTGTTCCCAAAGAAATATAACAACAATGACATAAAAAAAGAGTTTAATTTCCGTAAAATGAAATGATATGGAAATGTTTAACATTCTTGCGTTTCCTTCCTCACATTTGCCAGTTTTTCTCTCCTTATTTATGTCATTTTCCGTGTGAAAACTCAATGAGAAATGGCAAAATTAAAATTGGTTAAAAAAACTTGTTTCATGCTGGATGAATCATTGATATTCATTTCAATTTAATTTACCTGAATATAAGCATTTACTATTAAACTACATCATAATCGTAAAATAAATATATAAATGAAAATTTGAATTTTCTTTTTCGATTGCTTTTTTTTTTGATAGAGGAAACGAAAGTGGCAAAAGTCTCTTCTCATGTCGTTGATGTGATGGATGATAAATTCCATTATGTTCATTGATTCATATAACGTATTGAATTTTTATATATTTTATGCACAATTTTTAACAGACTTTTTTCTTTTTAATAACTTATGTGAATACGTCAGCTAGGATATCAAATAATAAGAAGTCATACAAGCAAAATGAAAAAGTTTTTATACATGCATCATTTAGCAATATGATGATGGAATGTAATTTGCATAAGTGAACACTTTTAAAATATTGTTAAACTTTTTTCGTGTAGTGTGTGAACTTTTATTAAAAGTTCTCATGTGGAGTAAGATTTTAGTACCTTCGTATCAACTATGTTTGCTTGATTTTAGCATATTATTTGTCTCTGTATGAAACTTTTGAGCGTCTGAAGGAATATTTAAGTTGAGTTTTCAGTAAAATCAATTATTTCTGGTTAAATTTCCAAGCCTGATTAATAATATAATATATTAAAGAATGCACGATGCATTAGTAAGTTGAAAAATGTAGTACTTAAAAGGATCTATCATTGTTTAAAGTATAGTATTAGAAATTGTGACGTATTAAGGATATGTTCCATTCTTGCGATGAAACACAACTTTTTCTTGTGAAACATTGAAGTTGCTCAAAAGTTTTATTCATACTAAAAAGGATTTACATTTTAGCGAATTAATCATTATCATGTTCATTCCTAAATATATATTTAAAATTTTGTAGCTTTAAAGTTATGCTTCTTACATATAGCTCAATTTACACTCCCATCTGCTTAGTCTAATTTTACAAACTTTTCAAGCTGTAAGAGATAAAATAAATTTTGGAATATTCACTGAAGGCACTAATGGAAAGAAGAAGTTTCTTTTGTAAAACTTTTGCTTAATTGTTAGTTTATATTAAAAGCTCAAAATTTGTAAAATGAAGATGTAGATGGATCTGAATGCAAATTTAATCAATTTATCATCATTTAGTTGTGAAAACTTTTTAACTTAATTATCAGAGTCTAATTAAAATCAGTAAATATAATGAAGTTTTATATGGTTTTTAAGGTTGGGCTTTTTATCTTTTTATAAATCAATATCAAGCATTTATAATTCCGAAAAAAACTTAAAATATATGCTTAAGTTAAATCTGGTTAAATCATTTAAAAAAAATAGTCGAGAAAAATATTATCTTGAATCTCCCTCGTCTTCTGTATCCAAATTATTAATAACTCTCTTTGCACCGTAGTCGACTCTCCACTCTTACACACAGCTATGATGCATAAACACTTATCAATTCCAATCATTTTAAGCTGAAACTATTGCTATTTTATTTCCTTCTCACAATTCATTTTCAAGTACAATATTTTTTTTTTCAAAGAAAGAAAAGAAAAAAAGAGAAAAGAAACAGAAAAAGTAAATTGAGAAGAGTAATAAGTAAAGTACGAAAGAAAAAAAAATATTACATCTGAGCACAGTGGCATAAACAAAAAAAAATAAAAATTATTAAGTTTCTCACATCACATTTATTCATGATTCGCACGCGGTTGTGTGTAGGCCGAAAGTTTAACGCGTTAAGAAAAAGATAAAATAAAAAAAAAATAAGTAAAAAGAGATTAAAAACTTTAAGTACGAAATTAATTTTCTCTTCATTACTTTAAAAAAAATTACGACTATAGTACACGAGTCTGCTGGTACTCGAGAGTCTATTATTAATAAAAATCAACTCGATACACTAAACATTTTTTTACCGCATGTGATTTATTCATTTGAAAAGTGCTCGTGGGCGTTTGTTTTGACGGTAAATATTGTTCATATTGTGTCATATGTCGCATAAATTTAATTATTGTTGTGCAAATGAAAATGTGAATGAACAAAAGAAGCATAAAACGTGACGATACATTTAATTAAATTTCAACTCTCCTTTTTATTTTTGTGATTTTTATTTTCGATTGTTGATTATTGAATGAAGCTCAATGAAGAATATACAAAAAAAAATGTGTAAATTGATGTTGGAGAAAAAAATACAAAAAAACAATAAAAATTTTTTTAATTTTTGTTTTTGTGAATTACGATATTGATGAAATATTTATTGTGCGATTGGCTATAAGTGTGATTATGGAGTATATAGTATATCTATGTAAAAATAATCAAAAAAAAATGAAAAAAATTCATTCAAGAAAAAAAAATTGAATTTGTGAATTTGAGTTAACTTTTGTTCATTTTTATTACAATTGAACTGTTCAATAATTTTAGAATTATGAGTTTATAAAGTGTATACTTTAATATCGAATAGAAAGCTCTAATACTCTCGTGTGTGCAACAACACTAAATTTTGATATAATCCATTAGATGGTTAAAAACTGTGGCGCTCAAAGTAAAGATAAAAACATAAATTTTTAGTAAATGCCAATATCATGAATTTGGGAATAATATTCAAAAATTATACGTAGCTTATGTTACCACAGAACATAAATTGGCAGCATATGGAAACAATTTAATAACCGTATCAGAGACAAAATAACATGGTTGTTACAATATCGTTAGTTTTTACTTTTGCATTACTATAATAATATCGCGGATAAATGATATGTTTTTATGTAAATGTGGCTTAATCAACTCTAAGTTCTTTGCCTTATTTTTCTTAATTTATAGCCACGACAACTGCACTTTTGTTTTAATGATATGAAAGAATCATCGTTATGGTGCTTACTTTTAATTTCATTACCACAAAATCATGACATCTTCTTAGTCAGCAGAGTCATATTGTATGTTATGAAATTAACATCATTCTACTACTAGCGTTTAATTAAATAAATTTGAAAAAATTCTCAAAATATTTATAACAATAAGACTGATTGATATACTAAAAACAGTTGGTATTAAGAAATATAGACTCAAAATTTGCATAAAGTAGTAAGTATACATTCCTCGTGATGATGCAACTGATATCTTACTCAATAACAGATCATTTTTGGAATTTTTTCTATTAAAATATTTTTATGCTTCAATTTGTTCAATTGAGCTTAAGTTTTTAAATCAATTTGATTGATTAAAATTTTAAAATACAAATGAACAGAGTTAGGGTAAAGATAAAGAGAGATTGAAATGCAAGCTTGAGTGTATTTTTAATTGCAGAAAAAATATATTTATTATATAGTGTTTTAAACGAGTATCAAATTTTAGGTCGATTCGCGAGATTTTTATGAGAAAAAACATTATATTTATCGAGTAATTAAAGCAATACTTATCTTGATTATAATCATGATTAGACTACACGATTAAAAGTCATAAATAAATAACACCTGACAATTTTTTTTTGAATATTATGCATTTAAATCCTCTTAATGAAATTGCTTAATTTTTTTTTTGACGTTCCAAGATCACAATTATCCTTAAAAACCAATAAATAATGATCTACTCACAAAAAATGAAAAAGTCATCTGTAATTCACAAATCATAAAATACGAAAAATTACGATAAATCATTTTAAAATATAATTCCTAAATGCTAAAATTCATTGAGCTAGTGTAAAAGAAGTAACAAAATATTAATTTTTTTTTATAATTGAAATGAGAAGAAAGGGAAACAAGTAAAAAAGAGTGAAAAGAGGCATTAAATAAGTGAGAAGTGATTATCATCCAAT